GTTTTATATGATCTTCCAGACACCCATGTATACGTCGGTTTGTGGTAGTGAGTATGAAAGTGCTGGAGGTTGAGTTTGGATCCTGTTTCCACCACTGACGAAGGTGTGGTTTGAGCAGGTCATCTAAGCCATCTTAGCCTCGGTTTTCTCGTCTGAAATATGGGCATGATAAATATACTGGTGTGTGTCAAACAGGATGCTAAACACTGGCCTCTGTCAGCATTAAACACGCGTCAGCCGTGCCCTCGGGAGCCATGACCCTATCATGTGCATGCTTGTTGATTCCTTTTTCTTTTTATGGACGTATAGCCAGTTTACTATGCTCCAGTGGGATCTTATTCTTTCTATTGCCGGGGAGCCAGAGGTGCTCAGCTGGAGAGGCCTGGAGAGAGGAGCACACTGGCTATCTTGAAACATCTAACCGGCTTTCATGAGAGGGAACGGGACCTGGTTTGGATTTGGTGCCAGCAGAGGGCAAGCTTGAGGACAGGCCCTCGCCATCTGCCCCCGCCGTGGTCCCCAGTGCCCTGCCCAGAGCCAGGTATAAGTGGGCACCAGCAAATGGACCTGGTGGGCAGAACTTGGAGAGCACTTGAAACCTCTCAGCTCAGAGTGAGGAAGCCCCTTGGACACGTCAGGGATGCCCAGAGGCAGAAGGGATTGCCTCAGGAAGTAGCAAGCTGGCTGTCTGTCCCTGCAGGCTTTGGAGACAGACAGACATGGGTCCCTGTGTGCACCTTGGGCAGGTGACCTGGGAGAGACTGAGTCAGGTAGTGGTCAAGAGCCAGCTGCTGGGGCCAGCCTGCTGACTTTGCCACCTGCTAGCTCTGCAGCCTTGGACAGTTGGCTAACTTTTTAATGCCCTTCTTTCCGCATCTGGGAACAGCAGCACCTATCCCGGACGGCCGTAGGGAGGAGTCAGTCAAAGGTACTAATGGATCCAACGTGCCGAGCACAGTGTCTGGGCAGAGCAAGCTCTCTCTGTGTGTCTGCAGGGCACGGAGATAACTCTTGTCGCCCGGCAGAGCACAAACAGTCAGCGTCGCACGCCCAGCGAAGTGCCTGGCATGCAGGCATCAGTCCTGGCAGCCCTTACAACTCTGATCATTATTCACATCATCCCTGGGGCCCTGCTGGCTCTCCACGGTGGGGTTGTGTGGACGACTTCCTGGCTGGCCTCAGAGCAGCGGAGGAGCTGCCGTGTGTCTGCTGGGTGTCTGATTCATCTCTCCTCCTCCGCCTCTTCCTCTGCCCACTTGGAATGTCATCATCTGGTCTGTGGTTAGCTGCACTCAGCAGCGGCTGCTGGGAGGTGATGGATGGGCAGTGATTGCTTCCTCTCCGTTGCTCGCTGAGCCCTCGGGCTCTGCTCCCTGCTTCTCCCCGTCCTGCTCCGCTAGACTGGGGAACCGCCTCTACTCCTAGATTCCAGACCCATGTAGGCCTTTATTTAAATCCAGATGCTCCTCCTGTCTGGTAAGCTGCGTAACTTCTCTTAGCCTCAGTTTTTACATCTGGGTAATGGGAACAAAATCTGCCTCCTTGAATGGTGATTATAGGTAAAATCCCCAGCTGGGTGATTGGCACACAATAGGCACTTAATTGGCAGCACCCTTTTCTTCCCGCATGGAGAAACCCTTGGCCGGGAGCCAGGGGATGGTGTGATGTGTGTTCTCCAGACAGAACTGTGGGTGTGTCAGTGCAGAGCGGAAGGACGTTAGAGACCATCTTGTGCTCTCTCTCCCTTTGCTGTTTGGTAAACTGAGGACATGGCGAAGTTTTTCCAGAGAAGTTGCATTGATTTCTGTGTTTTGCCCTGGGAGCAGCAGCTCTGATCAGCCAAGGCCCAGCCTCTGGTGAAGCGGAACCCACGCTGTGGAGGGTGAGCTTGCTCCTCTCCAGAAGTCTGGAATGTTCTCCCTTCCTAGAGACTGAGGGAGTGTGGACGTCAGTGGGTGGCAGTTAAATGAACTCCAGGCCTTTGTTACCAGCCTTGTCTTTGTCGTGTTCTCACACTTTGAAAAGGGAAAGTCAGCCAGCTAACCAAGGACTAATTTAATACACACTTTGACACCTGAGACTCAGCCTTACCCTTAATTCCAGAACTGCTTCTTCTGTTGATCCTGAATGATCACCTGATAAATCCGGATTGACCAGTGAGGTGGAGCTGGTCCCATCTGCCAGTAGCTCCTTTACCAGGAAAACAAGTTTCTTTTTCTTCTGCTTTCCACCTGGACTTGGGGCAGCTGTGTTGGAGTGCCTCTCTCCTCAGTTCTTATAGACGGCCCTGCAGACGTATGTCCTGCGTTTGAGGAAAGAAGGAGAGGAAGTACCCTTGCTGACCCCATCTAGCTGCCTGTGCCCTTAAACCGGGAAAAGCAAGCTTTCTAAGAAACCATGCCGCCCCAGCCACGGTGCTCCTCTGTCATTCGTTTCCTTGGCCAGAACTGGGTCACAGGTCCATCCCAGCTGGAAGGTGGGGGCTGGAATAACTGTCATGGGCTTAGACCAGCCAGCCACCGCTTTTTTCCTTGAGCTGAAAACACTGCCATCTGAATAAAAGTGACATTCTTTTAGCAAGGAAGGAGCGGGGAATGGGTGTTGGGTTAGCTAACCGTGTCTGCCACTTCTCTGTGGCACGAGTCCCAGGGCCTGTGAAATCTCCTCACCTAGTCGTCAGCATCACGACGAAGCCCGTGCCTGGGAGTCGTCCAGGCCACCACTCAGCATTTACCTCTCAGCTCAGGTGTCACTGGTCATTTCTGCTCAGCATGAACTCGAGCCCGCTCTGTGCCTGGAGCCGTGAGACTCCGCCAGGTCTGCAGACGCGCTGGGGAGACAGCCACGCCAGTCAGGGCCTTTAGCTCGGCGACGTCAGCTCCAGACCCGGGGCCCTGCCCAGGGGCTCCCTGCCCGGGCGGTAAGGGAGTGAGTGAGAGCAAGGCTCTGGGCGAGGGTGCTGAGCAGAATCCTGACGGTCGAGGAGGAGCCTGTGAAGCGAGGAGACTCAGGGATGTCACTGCAGCTCCAACAAAATTCCTTGGGCTTACACGTTCCAGGCCCCTCGCCAGTCAGCCCAGGGGTGCCCTGAAGGCAGGGACGGCGCCTCGCCTCTGATCCCATTTGTGAGTCCCTAGAACTGGCTCAGTGTCTGGAATGTATCTGGGGCTCTATAAATATTTTAGTTTTAGTAAATGAGTTAACTTGGAAATAAGTAGATCGTTGTCCAAGATGTGGGCATCTCTTGGCCAGAGGGATGCAGTTATGGGCTGAGAGGGACCTGGAGGCTAGTCCCTCCTCCCTGCCAACAAGTGAACCTTAAGGGCCTGGTCCTCCCTGGGGATTCTGGCTGGAACAGGTGTTCTGGGGTCCATTTGTCCGGACATATGTCAGCTATAAATTCCCCCTCGAGGCTTTCGAATGTGTGAGGCTGAGTGAGGGCCCCAGGAGAGGGTGGCAGGTGTTTTGAGGAATGATTTCTTAAAGCAGTTTGGGCCAGCTCTAGCATCTTTGAAAAGTGTCCATCCTTTCTGTGTTCGTGGGCTGCCTTTGGCCGTCGGGGTTCGGGAATCAGGTTGTCCCCTTTATTTACAGAGGCAAGGCTCAGTGGCTCTGCCTGCCCTGAGCTCCAGCCATCAGCCTCCAGAGATTTGCTCATAATCAAGACTAAACCTCCTGAGTCAACTCATTTTAAATGACGCTCGGTCCCCAGCCAGTCCCTCTGGCATCCCACCCAAGTTCAAGCAGCTGGTCCTCACCCTGCAGCTGCCACTGTCCTGGGTAGAGCTGTCTAAATACTGCACTAGCATCCTCTCTTGTATCTGGTTCTAGACGGACAGCCCCATGCTGTTTCCAAAATAACCCCTTCCTTGGGGCTTGTCAGACCTCTGGTGCCTTTTAGGATAAACATTAAAAATACCTCCTCCCAAGTCAGGGAAGGTATCATTCTTTCCCCTCGCCAACTGGTTAGGAGACCTCAAGCTGGTCCTACCGCGAAGTATTTGTGCCCCTCAGTACGAAAGGAGATCACTGCACACAGAACTGACGGGATGACCACACTGCCTGGTCATGCGTGGTTACTATGGGGACGTGTGGCACCGTATCGCTTCAAGGGCAGCGCAGGTCTCTGCTAAGCTGCCTCCAGCGCTAAATTTAAATTGGCCTCTTCACCCAGAGCCAGTCCTGTGTGTCTTGATCTTGGCCTGTCCTCCAGGCGGCCCTGCGACAAGTGTGTGCTTTGCAAGGTGTCTCATGTCACACACGCTCACACTGACCCAGAGACGAGGAGACTTGGTGCAGAGCCAGCGCTTGGACCCAGAACTTTACAATTCGCGGTTGGTTCTCTTTCCGGGATTTTTAGGGCAACTGGAAGAGTCCCTCTTCATTCCGCTTTTTTTTTAAGTGAGAAATTGTGAGGAGGTTTAGATCAGTCGTTTATGTAATGTCCTATAGTGAACTGTGTTTTCCCGTGTGGCTTACCCCAGGGCCTTTGTGTAACTGAGCAGCCTTGTCCCTGGAATTGCACTGCAGCTCCTTAGGGAGGCAGGTGGGCCCGCAGCACACTGTGCCCGTTCCATCGACGCCCCGCTGACTTGGGTTTGCATATACAAGCTCATGCCTTCAAAACTGAGCTGCTCTCTGCCGGCATCCCCTGTGTTCCTTTGTGCGTCGGGCTGAGTCTTCCCGTTCCTTTAAGAGAAACCTCGTTTGTGACACTGTTGACCACATGGGTTCCTGTGTGTGGCTCCCTCTGACGGGCAGGCTGTGAGCCCCTTGTGGGTGAGGACCAGGCCCGCTCCTACCTCACCCCCAGCGCAGAGCCCAGGATTTGCAGGGCCGATGCTTTCAAGTGTATCTGGGCGTAAATGAAGTAGTTCCTAAATGTGGCAGCACCACTGCATCTGCTCCAGGCTGGACGTCCTACGGGCTGGGAGGGTCCCCGGAGTGACCGTGGGCTGCCTTCACTCATCAGCCTCTCTGTTTCCTCTTGCTTTTCTCAGACGTGCTCTGCCCCAGCGTCCGCGTGGAAGGAGATCGCTTTAAGCACACCAATGGCGGAACCAAGGAAATCACAGGTGGGAGAGAAATGGCCACCCTACGTGGCTTGCTTTGCTGGGCTGTTTCCCGGACCTGAATGTGACCCTCCTTGATTCAGGGGTGACCTCACCGATGCCTCCCTCACTCCCATCTTTCACCAAGTCCTGATACGATAGTTTGAAACGTGCAGGTAGCCACTCCATCAGTGAACCGTCCAGTAGGGGAGAATTTCCCGTTTTCCACCTGGGAGTCAGTGGTGATTCTGTGGGAGTCATAAAGCATGCAGCAGGGTGAGCGAGGTGGTGAATGAGTGAGCGGATGATTGGCAGCGTGAGTGAAAGGGTGGATAAATAAATGTATTTGGGAATGAGGGAGACAGTGAATCAGAGTTATAAATATATGAGAGGATTAATGGATAAAAGAACTGGGAGACGCATGATTGCAGAGCCAGCGGCAGAAATAAATAGCGCTATCTTGTTAGAGGCTGTCTCCGTATGTTCCACAGCGATCAGGGTGCGTGGGCATGGCTGAGCCAGCATCCCTGTCACCCTGACGGTGTTGAGCGTCAGTTACCTCTCTTGGTGGCCACTCATCCTGCTGGACACTTCAAGCGCGTGATCCAGGAAAGTCTTCTTCCTCCTCCAGGACACCAGCGCTGCTCTCCTCACCAGGGGCCCCGGCTTTCCCTCCCAAAGCATCTTGGGTCCAACTCTAACCCACGTGTAGTCTGTCTCTCATCCGAAGCAGTGAGCCATGTGCAAGAGATCAGGACCAGGTGTCTTGTAGGCACTGCCGGTGCCCTGCCTCTATCCCAGGGGCCCTGCCGTGGCCACATGAAGACGCCAGCCTCTGCATCTTGGTGCTGGAGGGACGTTTCTAGAACGACAGAAGGCTGTGCTGCCCGTGTGCATGGGAGGTGAAATGCCAGGGAGTAACCCAGCCCTCAATCAGTGACCATCAGTGAAGGAACACCCAGCTCTTTGACCCATTTCCCAGGGTGTCCCACTGGGGTCCAGCTGTGGTCGCCCACCGGGCAGCTGACTCTGTTCATCCACTGCCGTCTCTGCCTGCCGCCGTTCCTTCTCCATCAGGCGCCTCCCAGATAAACTCGTGGCACTTCTGAGGAAGCCCCTGGTGTGTAGTTGGCGGACAGTGTGGTCCTATCTCTGCCAGGGTTTCTCTGTCTAGCTCACGAGATAAAGATGACTTTCACCCTCTTCCCTCTGCTAGCGCAGTTGCCTTGACGTGAGCATGTTCATAGCTGAGTCGCTGCCCAGAGGGCAGACACGCTGGGCAGTTGGACAGGGATGTTCCCACTTACTGCCGCGGTGACGCCCAGCTGAGCTCTGGTTCTGGGTAATCCAACCTCCATCCCTGGAGTGTGGATGGGCCGCCAGGCTCTGCCCTGGGACAGCTTCTGCTGAGGTCACCCTTCAGAGCAACTTCGTACCTTCTGCTTTGTCCATCTCCGGCTTCCTGAGCGATGAGTCCTTCACAGCAGTATCGCCCCTAGAGAATTATCCAGTGTGTCTGTCCGCAGAAGGGAAGTTGTTACGACAGTAGCAAAGGTGGTGATACTCGACACCGACTCACTGCGTGCCAAGGGATATGCCCTTATTCTCTCACTGAGCCCTTCTGGCGTCTGAGACTGGTGCTATTATGTATCTTTTAGTAGAGGGAACTGAGGTACAATCACATTAAGCAACTTGCCTGAGTTTGCGGTGGAGTGAGGGCTCACATCCAAACCTTCAGAAGGAAAGGAGGGAGGCAGGGAGGGAACACAAATGAGCATATGAATTTGCTACGTCATCTGTAACGCAGAATAAGCTTTCCTGTCATTGTATGGACTGAAGAGCCTCCAATGTTTTTTCTAATGGGGAATAACTGATTCTTGCTGGGAAGATTCGGAACGTGTGTTTGTGTGTGTGTGTATGTGTGTGTGTGTGCGTGTGCACACGAGTCACGTGCAGAGCTGGGGACAGATCCTTTCGTCTCTGCACACAAGGAAGGTGGTGCCGAGGAGTCTCTGTGGTGATTGGATAGACATGGGACCCTCTGTTCGGAACCCACCCTGTGGGTCCGCAGCCTGGGGAACGCTGGAACCTCGCTCCCCTCCATGGGCTCCGAGGCCCCCAGGAAAGAAGCCACAGTGCCTTGTGGGCACCCGTCAGCACGAGGTGCTGACGTCCTGGTTGTGTGTCTCCAAGAGCAGACAGCCCCCTGGATCCGTTGTCTCCTCTAATGATAATCAGCCCAGAAAAAACGCTCCCCCCGCCGTGCTGAGGCTGAACCAGAGTTAGGACGGAGCGATCTTCTCAGACTTAAATGCCAACTTAAATGCAGTTGGGTAATCGGATCAGCTTTTGTAAAAAAGTATTGTGGTTCCCCAAAGCCTCACCTCCAGACGTTTCCTTAAATGACTCCAGCTATTTTTAGGGCCTGTGAACATGGGGAAGAGAACAGACGAGGCAGTTTGGAGGCGAAGGTCTTAGACAGGACATGCTGCTCCCCAGCCGCCAGCCGTGGTCCGTCTCCTGGCATCTCTGAGACTTAGTTTCCCCACTTTATGCAATAGTGGAGCCAACGTACTGTCTGTGAGGACCCCTCTAGACTCTAAGAACAGAATGCTCTCCAAGTTCTAGCCACTCAAGGTGTTATACAACATTGGGGGGGGCAGTGGGGAGAGTATAGCTATTTAATGCTTAAGGAAGGTTCTAGGCCTGGTCCAGCTCTGAGATTTGGCCACAGACATCCTGATTCTCTCTCCTCCTACCTGGGCTCCGACATCCAGTTGATAATCACTGAGTCACGACCGATCATCTCTAATAGCCTCAGTCTGGTGCTTCTTCCGCCCCTCCTCCTCCGCCCTGTGTTACCAAGTCTGGTCCTCACTGGTCCTGCTCTTCCATCCCCTGCTGGCAGAATGACCTTTTAAAATAGAAACAGGATTGTGTTTCTCCTTTGCTTTAAAGCCCTGCGGTGGCTCCCTGTTGCCTGCAGAAAGAAACTCAAACTGTCTCGCGTGGCCGGCAGAGCCCAGCCTTGTCTGCCCTTGCCTGACTTATCCCCAGCCAGAGTCCCCCTGATTGTGGCTCTGGAGATCCCGAAATAGCCAGGAGTCTCAAAAGGAGCCCAGCTGACTCTGGTCTGGTGACCTTTGCACATCCAGCTACCTTGGATGCCCTTTCCTCCTTTTCTTATCTGCCCAGATTTTATTTGTTCTTCAAATTCAGCCCAGGCCTTGCCTCCTCTGGGAAGTCCTCCCTGATTGCTCCTCAGCTGGACGCAGGAAATATTCCGTGTGCTCCAGTACAAGCCCAGGCACCTCCCTCGTTATCATTTACCCATGGTACCTAACACTGCTTATCTATGTGCCTGTTTCCCGGTAGGCACTAAACTTTTCCGGGGGCTGGAATTTTGTCCTGTTCATTATTAGAATCTGAGCAGCCAACAGGGCATCTAATATGTAAGAGGCCCTTAATGGTTTAGGGAATTCCTTCCTTCTCCCTTTTGATCTTTCCACAAACGATGCCTCAAAGAGGAACGGAAACCAGAAGTCCTCCATTTTTAGGGATGGAAACGTGAATCAGATCAGGTTCCCCAAATCACTCACCTTCTAGTGAGAAAAGCAGTCCCATAGACGGACGAGCTGAGTGCACCTCGGCCAGACCCACTGAAGACCCGGGGGTGACTGGTGCCCGGGGAGGCCAGCCCCGCTGCGTCCAGCGCGGACCTGTGAAGGACGAGGCAGAGCGTACAGTAGGCGCCCACAGGAAGCGGGTGTCACCTGCGGGCTCCCCGCAGTCATTACCGGGTCCCTGACGCCGCCTGGTTCAGCTGACTCAGTGCCTTCGGGGAGGTGCGCCCTTGCAGTTTCTGCGTGAAACGATGGCTCCTTTATCTCCTGCTGCCGCGCGTCAGAGTCCACTTACCTCGGGAACGCTTTTCATTTTCCTCCCAGCCCTTGTTTGTTTCAGGCCGTTCCTCTTTTCTCCATGCCCTTTGCTGCCACCTAGTTAATTGCTTGTTGCTTGAAGTTTTGTCGTGTTTAAGTCTTTGTTTTTATTCATTGAAACCAGTGAAAGTGGAGCTAGAAAGTGGAGCATATGTTTGCTTTTTTAAAACTGTTTATCATTATGGTTATTGTTAATTCTCCCACAGATAATTGCTAGAGGGAAACCCAGCGCCAGGCAGCGACCTCTGGCATCAGGGGCGCGGCTGTGAAGTGGAGGAGCAGGTGTCTCTGCTGTTCTGCCCCAGACACCTCGCAGGGTGGGCTTTGGGCACGTGTCTGCTAGATTTTGAACCCGCCCTCTGAACAAGTGCCACCTCTCAGTGGGCCCTCTGGGGACCGGACATCCTTGTGAGGCCTTGGGCAGCCCAGTGAAGTGGGAGATTTTAGGGGCTGAGTCGTTGCACCAGAGTCAGGGCGCAGCAGAGTCTAGGAGCAGGGAGGCGCCCAGGTGTGTCTGAGTGAGACGCCCTCCTGTCCCCACTTTCGCCCCTTAATTAAAGTGGCAGATTCTCTGGAGCAGCAGCCCGCCGCTGCCCTACCTCCAGGCAGTAACCTTTCCTGCTCCAGGAGTTTTGCCCCCAGGTGGGTAAGAGCCTCAGAGAATGGACGGGAGAGCCCACAGGGAGCCGCCTGCCTCAGGCTGCTGGAGGTGGCAGGCCTGCGGGGCGGGCCCTTGTCTCTGCCTCACTGTCGGGGAGGCAGGAGGATGCCGGCCTGCCTCTGGCCGCTGCTGGGCCAGCTTTTAGACCTAGGACAGCTTGGCTCCAAACCGGCTCCACCTTTCTCTGGAGCAGAATCTGAGCCCCAGACAGCCCCAAACGCCTTTTACCACTTGGTGTCCTGCCATGGAACCTTCTGGGCCCATCACTCCACTCCCAGGCACCAGCCTCTCCCAGTGTCTCATGCTTCCCAGGCCCCTAGGGGCGCTTCCAGGTCCAGGGCCCCGTGTACTTGGCAGCGCTTTGCAGCTTTGCGAGGTCTCTCCTAGGTGGGCCCTGGGCAGCCCCACTAGCTGCTCCCAGCTGACCTGCCTGGCTCTGTGAGGCATAGCGCCCAGAGATGCCAAGACGCTTTATGCCTCTTTTCTCCAGGCAATGCTGAACTGTCAGCAACCCGCCCACAGCTCGAGGACCCAGGACAGCCGCCTGCAGGGGCAGGTGGCTGCTCTTTGCCACGCCGAGGGAGGCCTGGTCCCCTGTAACCAGGCTTAGTGGTGGGGCTGTGGGAGAAGCGGCCGGGCTGTGGCCAGGCTACGAGGCTGCTTTGACGGGGGATTTCACGTAGGACGGGGGTCACACGGTTCCCACCGTGGTCCCCAGGAGGGCTCGTGCTGTTGGCTGAGCAACTACTCGGTGCCGGCCTCCCGCAGGCGCCGCTGAGGTCATTTCTCTGAACCCCTGCAAGGAATTACTGCTCTCTCCGTTTTTCCAGTGAAGGAGACAGGCTCAAAAAAAAAAATCAGATAATTTCTTCAAAGTTAGTCAGTTTCTTAGTCCGTTTGAGCTGCTGTAACAAAAATACTGTGAACTAAGGCTTAAAAGCAACAGACATCTATCTCTTACAGTTTTATGGGCTGGAAGTCCAAGATCAAGGCACCTGCAGATCTGGTGTTTGGTGGGGGCCTGTTTTCTGGTTCACAGATGGCCTTCTTGCTGGGACCTCAGATGGCGGAGGGGCAAGGGAGCTCCTGGGCCCCTTTTATACCAACTCTAACGCCATCCATGGGGGCTCCACTCTCATGACCTAACCACCCCCAAAGCCCCTACCTCATAAACCATGACACTGGGGGTCAAGTTTCAGTATTTGCATTTGGGTTGGGGGGGCACATTCAGCCCATGGCACTCAGCTAGAAGGCTGCCCCGGGGCAGAGTGTGCCGTGGGCTCTGTTCACATCCTCAGCACCCAGTGCACATTGTGCGTTTACTGGGGACTCACTCCCTTGCTTTGGAACTCTCCCTGACCAGCAGCCTCATGCTTGCAGAATGGAGGGCTTTTTTATTGCGTAAAAATCAGACATTTAAATTCACTTATGCAAGAAATGCAGTTTGGAAAACATGCTCTTTCCAGCCATGATGAACATTGGGAAAATGTGATACATAGTTATTGTGTCACCAAAGGTGATCAGATTCCACCCACTCTCCCATTTTACAGACGAGGGGACTGATTCTGGGAGGGGAAGGTGACTCAGCCCAGGTCACCCTGAATCATTGCCAGGGAGACCACCCCCGAATGCTTATTCAGAACTTATGATGGGACAGTAGAGCAATCACGTGCTCATTCAGGGAGAAGGATCTGTTTAGAGCATCTGGTATTTAATGGACATCTACCTGATGTGCCCCACAAGTGTAAGAGCAGGGATTTGAACTCTAATGTTTCTACCTCCAGAGCCCTTCCTCCTTCGTCACCCCACAGTGCCCACACCGAGGCAGCAATGTGATGTGCTGGCTGATACTGTCTCCCCGGGGAGCGGGAAGCTCTGGCAGGTGAGAGGGGGGCCGCCTGAGGGCAGGCACCAGCCTCACTCCTCTCGCGTCCCGTGTGGGCATTGTGGTCTGGCTCCTCGGAGGACCCTGTCTCCAGGACTCAAGTCAGCCCCCCACCGCCCCCCGACTGGTCCAGGCAGTTTTGTAGGGAGTTGTGAGTAAGGATGTGCTGCTGGTGGTGGAGAATCAGGAGTAATAACTCACCTGCTGAACCAGTTTCCTACTGTGTGCTGAGTGGTCCCATGGGATTCTCACAGCAGCCCAAGTGGCGGCCTCAAGCTCTTCCGTGGTGTTGACTGAAAAAGAATGCATATCCTGAAAGCTGAGAATTATGTTCTATTAGGCAGACTTTCCGAGGACTTCAAGCCCAGGAGACAGCCTCTCAAACAGCTCTGAGGGAGGGGAGGAGCCAGGATATATAGGAGTTTTTGCAGCAAAGACCAGGTAGTCGAAACATCAAAAGATTGCTGTTAATGAAAGAAAACCAGGTATCTCAAGTTAAGGAATTCAGCGCATTTTTCTGTATGGGAAGGTGCAAAGTCTGGGCTCACTGAAATCACTCCTTTGACCTGCACCTGGCTCTCTAGGGCCGGTGTCCTGTGCTTTCCCATCCTGAGTCTCCTGGCGGGGGCACCCTGGCGGGGTGGCTGCAGAGGCTGAGGGCTTGACGGCGGGCATCCTGTTTCCATCCTGACTTCCCTCAGGGCTCACCGTAGGGGGCTGGTGGCTGTAGCGTCCTGTTTGCTTCTGTGGCAGGCAGTGTTTTTCATTCACACGGGTGTCAATGCCTTCTTTCACAACCACATACCGGGGCTCCTGGGGTTATGTGACTCGCTCAGTGTCACATAAATATGTGACTGAGCTGGGTGACCCCCTGTCCCACTAGCTCCCCTGAGCCCAAAGGTCATGTCTTTTCCATCACTTTACATGGTCAATACCTGAGGCCTCTCTTAGAGCCAAAGCGAAACAAGATACACCTGTCCACTAATGGGAGCTCGTGAACACAGTTCTCCTTTCTCTGATGTTTTGCTCTTTAAAATTGTACAGTTTAAAAGCTGCTGAACTATAATTCAAGCAAAATCCAAATGAATTGCAGAAATGTGGCCGCAGGACAGAAAGCCCTAAATCGCTGCTTTGCCTGCAAGGCCGACCTGTGTGAGCCAGGTGTTCCTCCGGGGGCTTCCGGAACCCCGGCCACACGGCCAGGACAGTGCCCGTCCTCTCCCTGCTTCACTGTGATGCAGGACTGTCACAAGCTCACATTTCCTGGGAAACCCCAGCAGCTGCGTTTCTCCTGCATCTATTCCCTGGACTGGGCAGTGGCAGTGGAAGCTGGCCGGCTCCGGACTCTGCTGTGGCCTCATGTTTTCACCTGGGAAATGTATCTGCACAGTTCCCTCCGCTTAAATCCCGCTCCGCTCCCCGGGCAGGGTGGGCGGGCTGCCCTCGCAGAGCAGGCGTGCTTTCCCCGTCTCCTGTGCTCTTCCTGGCGGACTCACTCCCTGCTCTTCTCTCTGGATAGGTTTTGACCTGATGGATCTGTTCAGCGTGAAGGCGATCTTGGGGAAGAGGGAGACCGGAGCGCAGAGTTCCTATGTCCGGATGGGCGCCTTCCCTGTGGTGCAGAGGACCGAGTGAGTGGTGACGTCTCCTTCCACACTTACCTAGAGGGGCAGGAAGGAGGCCATGGTTGCTCCCTGAGCACTGGGTAGGGCTTTAGCCTCCAGAGCACCTGGTAAGGCCTCCCTGAGACGAGGCGACTGAATCCCTGACCTGGGATTCAGCCTCTTTCTTAGCCGATCTATTACCACGAACGCTATTGGTCCCCTGGTCCTTCTGTGCTCACCTCTCTGTACCAGCAGT